ACACACACACACACACACACACACACACACACACACACACACACACACACACACACACACACACACACACACACACACACACACACACACACACACAGTGTTATTAAAGTTGTCATGGTGTCCCTCAGGTCTCTATGTGTGGACGCTCTGATCGAGCTGTCGGATGAGAACGCCGACTGGAAGCTGAGTTTAACGGAGTTCATCAACTGCCTCACACCCTCATACCATCCATACGAGAGAAGTAAACACAAACACACACACACACACACACACACACAGACACACACACACAGACACATGCACCCAAAACAATTTCCAATTTTTATTTTTACAGCTGGTTTTTAAATCTGTGTTTCAGAGGAGCATCAGGTGGAGGAGGACTTTAGAGGAGGAGCAGAAGGAGAAGAGCTGACGGAGGAGGAGTGGAGCCGGAGGGTGGAGGAACTCAACGCTGTTTAGACTGACTGCAAGAAGAAGATCGCAGGAAATGCCGACAGAAGACTTTTCACACCGAGTCAGATTGTGGTTCTTTTGGGGAGGTGGAGGTAAATCACTTTGTTCGGTGGATGCAGTTTGAACGAGAGGAGCAGTATGGAGGTCGGGTCGGCACCAAAATAAATAAATAAATAAGTGGTCCGAAACACAATTTCCTTTTTATATAATTTAATATATCTTTTAATTTTCATTGGCATATATTGTTTTTTATGTATATGTTTAGTTATGGCCGTTTTTAACTTGTCTTAACGTTTATTTTTTTAATTATTTAACAAAACTTAGCAAAGAGATTTCCAAAAACTGATTTTGCCAAAATGCGTTAGTGTTTTATTGCTAATGATATGTGTGTTTGGGTTGGGAAATGAATGCTGATTTAATAAACACTTTATTGTATCAGAATGTAATTGTCAACTTTTACATTTCTATAAAGGGAAAATTGCGTCATCAGATATTTTTATTTATTTCTTGTTGAAACCAATGGACATTATTAAACAATAGTCAGAAAGATTAAATAAATACAAATTATTAATAACAAAGGCAAACTACACAATCACTGCAACAAAAGTCCAATTTTTTATTTTAGACGTATATAAATAATTAATAATAATACATTTAATTTATATAGCACACTTTCAAAACAACGTCATCTCAAGGTGCTTCGCAATGCTATGAGGAGAAATTACAATAAAATACAAAGTTATCTAAGGAGAATATTGAATAAA